TAGCTCTGACTGAATCTTTCATTTGAAATTATTGCTCCATTAGGATATCCACTTGAAGCGAGCATTGTGCATCTCAAGGATTAAGAATTTTTAACGTGTAAGTCACTCACACGCAACGCTTCAAAATCTGTAACCATATCCAAAGTATTCTCGAACTGAATGTGAGTCGTTGGGAGGGCGCGCAGGAATTGGATGCAGTGGAAGTGCATGATGCAAATAATACCATCTTAACGTTAAAAATTTTGCATTAAAATAGAGGTATAGTTGAAATACAAAATTGAAAATAGTTCATGTGAATACGAATGCATAGGATTTATTTTGCCTCAAATGATAGTTTCACCTAATTGTAAGCGTTGAATTATCCCTTTACTATCGCATCATGTTATTTTTTCAACATCCCTCCTGCAGCCAGATACAGCCACGACGCAAGAGCTGCTCATTAAAAACCAACCATTTTATAAGAAGTAGTGTTCAGATATTGAACTTTAGGCGACAACTGTAAGATGAGCTTCTCCTCCTTCCTGATTCCGAAGTCTCATGAACATCAATGGTTCACCCTTGCAAAGCGGTGCCTCGATAGAAATTGTTTCAATGTTGCCACCAAAATTGTACCACCATTCTAAAATTACACTAGAACTTGCGTACCACTCCCATTCCACTGTTACAATTGAATTCTTCCGGAACTCAAATCTGGTAAAAGTTCCAACATGATACATCCTTTCTTTTCTTAATTTTAGGTTTCCAACTCAATGGGATTTGCACAGACACTCTGAGGTCTGCCAGTAAGCGAAGCGATGGGTAGAGCCACAGTCTCCCGTTGAGAGGTGTTAGACTTCTCAGGATGCCTATTGCTTGCACTAGGGCAAAGCTGCCAGTTCAAAATATATCACCCACTTTCTTAATGACCCAAAAAACCAATCATAAGAGGCTCTTTCTGATCATACAGAGTTCAAGCAATTTCATGTTTTTATGGGAAGAGCTAATGCTTCTACTTGAATTTTTAGAGGTCATGTAAAAATGCTGTTAACTCTCTCATCAATCTAGGAACATTAACACATCTATTCTTGAGCTTTATGACATGTTTTGGCCTCAGTTTATGATGCAACTACGTTTTTCTAACTGCAAAACGTTAAATCACAGTCATTTATCGGCGGTGAGATTAGAGGTCGCAATATGACGTAGCCATAAAGGAGCGGGATAAAGGTGCTCAAGGTGGCCGACGCCAGGGCTGATCACGTTGAATTTGGTTAACCACAGCGAGTTCCGACTATCTTACGCTTTTTTGACGACTGCCACGTAAATAAGGATACCCACGCCAAGTAATGTTGATTTCTGATGCAGAGTGAGTAGAGTGAATATTAACGGTGACGTGTGAGCATCTTCAAACGAAATGAATTAATAGCTCTGCTGTCGTGAGATTTTTCCTTTCCTAACTTTATACATTTTGATTACTTTTCTTTGTTTTTATGCACTCCTTAAAATTAGAAATGCCTTGGTATTTACATGTCCAATATGCGGTGAACATGTACACGCGAGAACATTAAGCAACATGTTCAGACGGTTATTTCCTTGTCAGAACTTCGTGATGTCATCAGATTCATGACTCTTTTAAAAATTTAGCTTAGCGATTTCTGAAAGCTGGCTCGTTATCGTCTTCCGGAAATATCTTGAATAGGAAAAACCTAAGAACAGAGGATTTGGTAGAAAGGTAATAAACTAAATTTTGTAGTATAGGTTTTTGAAGTTCATTTGAAATAATTTTGGAAAAATGGAAAGTTGAGTGTTGTCTTTTCAAGGAGAAAACTTCCATCTAATTTGAGAATAAAACCTAAAATGTTTGAACAACTGACTTGAAGAAACCAGAGCACTTTTTCTTCTAGTTGATTCATTAGATTGATCCATAACGTCTGCTCAAACTACTTTCCAAACTTTTCACTATGACACAAACATACTTGCCAGAATTACTAAATATATTAGGAAAAAAGGTACGCCAAATGCCTTATACAAGAAGACGGGTGTGAGAAATTTTCAGGAGGGGCGTTTAGACCGACAGGGTGCCTGGCATTGGTAAACTTTTTTGCTCACGCTCAAAGAAACCGCTCCCGTCTAGATCTTCTGCTCTGAACTGAACGAGGATTCGACCAAGATATGCGCAGTTAAAACTCCCATAAACAGCATAGCAATTACTTAGATGGAACTCATCGTGCAGGCTCCTGCTCAATCTATTTGTGTCTTAAGTTGATCACAAAATTGGCATTGACGGCGATGGCGATGTTCTTCCTTACTTACTTTTAGATGGCCTGTCTTCACTCGCCGTGCAGGCCACAGCATTGTTTCCATCCGTTTCTGTCTCTCGCTAGTCATCCACTATGGTGGTATTGAATTGCGGCTTCGACGTTCGCGAGGTCCAGATTACCAGCTGAGAATTCAGCTGGTCCATCCGTGTCACGAAGTCAGCCATCTGGTCGGTCGCCTCCCTCGAGGAGGTTTCACTTCGCGAGGGATCTATTCCACAGTTCTTAGTCTCCATCTGTCGTCTGTCCTTCTCATTATATGACCAGCCCATCGATGTTTTGCCTTAGACACGTATTCCGCTGAATCGCGAAGACGGGACACTGATCTCACATATGAACTGCGAAATCGGACGAGATGATGGGTGCGTCGGTTGAACATCAGAAGACGTCGTTCCAGGGCTCTGTGGGTTTCGGAGTGCTTTCGACGTAGCTACAGTCTCAGGTCACGTCTCGGCTGCGTAACGGAGCGCAGGGAGAACGGTTGAATCGAACAAGTGGGCTCGGAGCTCTGGGTCCGTCAGCTGGTCTGTGGCTTCCTTTAGGGGCGGCGGCCCAAACTGCTCTTTGCCTCCTGTTTAGTAAGCACCACCTTCGGTGATGAGAATGTGGTCGATCTCTACATAATTCGTACCGTTGGGTGACTTTTTCATCGCCGAGGTCTTTCTTCTTGAAGATGGAGTTGCCACGAAAAAGTCGTGCGGCGGATAAGAGCCCACAAGACGGTCACTCACCGTTCTCATTCCGGAGTTAATGCGAAAATCGAGACAGAAGAAGGGAAGCACAGGATCGGGAGATTTGGCCATTCTCATTCCGGAGTCCTGATCCAAATCTGCCGATCCTGTGCTCCCCTTTTTCTGAAATCCCAATTTTCGCGTTGAAGTCACCCACTACGAACTTATAGAAGGAGTTTTTTTTTACGGATGACTTTATCCAAATCCTCATGAAAAGCATCAAGTTCCGAATCATCAGCTGCTGATG